TGTATACTGTTTACTATAGTACTGTATAGTGTTGTGACCACGTGTGTGTGCGTAAAGCATTTTTTATTTTGTGTCCAAGTGTAGTGACTGTTCTTTAGTAACTACTGCAAGTGAAGTCCTACACAATAACCCTCCTCCTCTCCTCTCTCTCGTTTCCCTCACACCAGCCACGATTAAATGTAATTAATAAATTTGATTACATTATATTAAATTTTAATAACTAAAATATAAAAAGGTATTTTGTATTAATCATTTTTATATGAATACAGTATTTTTGGGTTGTGGAACGAATAATCTGAGTTTTTATTATTTCTTATGGGGAAATTCGCTTTGATATACGAGTGCTTTGGATTACGAGCACGTTTCCAGAACGAATTATGCTCGCAATCCAAGGTTTCACTGTACATCTTAATTTTAGTATCACGATTGGTAATACTCCTAGACAACGAAGCAGAGCCTAATTATAATTATGTTGCGTACTAATTAACAGACACTAGTAGGAGGTACTCTCTTTTATTCCGGCCTTCACAGCCTTAGGAGATAACTATATACCGGGTCGGGACAGCCAACATGCTGCCAGACCCACAGCTTGAAGAGGGCGAAGATCCCGATGACGTCGACACGACAAGTTCCATTCCAGATCACAGCAGCCTCAACTCTGCGTCGGAGCTCGGTTTGTATTCTGCCCAGCGATGCCAGGCTCCGCCCTCGGCCCTGCACCCCTCTGGATCCGCCAGAGGGCTCCGTGCATTGCCCACAGGTCCAACTGGTCGAACGGGCTGCTACCCCTAATTCCATTGTCTACCAATCTCCCAGCGGCACGTGCTACAGTGACATTCAATGTCACTACAATTACATACACTTGCATAACTTCATACAATTACACCTTCATTTTAATATCACGATTGGTAATACCCTTAGACAATAAAGCAGAGTTCAATTAGCATAAATGCACACATTTGCATAATTACATATTTCATGATTACGTAAAACGACACTTTTATTTTCATTGAATTTTTATAATTTTTCAAGACGCAATCTATACAACACACAGGAGCAGGAGATCTACTCCGGCTGGTCCGCTCAAGAGGCAGTTGGGGGTCGATAATGGATGAAAGTTCCATGAACTTGGAGGTTAAGAACAAGAGGGCTATTGGCCTGCAGCTGGAGGGTGATTCTTGCAGATTTTGGGGTTTCAGAAAGGTGATGAATTTGGGTTCCATTCAGTGCCGGATTATCCTCGTCGCAAAAGTAGCATATGCTACGTGACCCGCACCTTCAAGTGCCCCGCGCTAAATTATTTCAAGCCATCAATTCCGGTTCAGTGATTATGCACTTGCTCTATTACTATAGTACTATACTGCCTTAAACAATTATGAACGACTGGGTGTTTAAAGTTTGTTGCATTATCTGGCTGTATAGAAAATGAAAAATACAATTACTTTACTGTGCAAGTTATACATTTGTGTTTTAATATTTGTTTATTTTATTTTATTTAGGGCCCCTTTATAACATATGCTACATGTCCCGGACTAGCTTAATCCAGCACTGGTTCCATTCGTTTAGGATTTTGCCTGACCTGTGCGTGACGGTTTAGACTTTAGAGGCTTGCATGCCATTGTCGTTCATATAATCCCAAGTTTTGTAGGAAGTCAGGACACAGGCCATCAAACCCCCAGTGCCTTGTTGGACTTTGTGGCCATGACGGCCGCTTCGACTTCAGTGACCATGTATGGTTTCCTTAGCTCAAGTTGATGGTGAGTTGTTTCCGGACGGTGTGTTTAGTGAGTTTGTCCATTGGTGCCTTTGAGCAGGGCAGCAGCGCGTGGGAAGTCCAAATCGCGTGGGAAGTCCACATCGCGTGGGAAGTCCACAGCGCGTGGGAAGTCCACAGCGCGTGGGAAGTCCACAGCGCGTGGGAAGTCCACAGCGCGTGGGAAGTCCACAGCGCGTGGGAAGTCCACAGCGCGTGGGAAGTCCACAGCGCGTGGGAAGTCCACAGCGCGTGGGAAGCCACAGCGCGTGGGAAGCTGTGATGCCACAGCGGCAAAGCCGCTCTGTCGGCGCCGCGCCTGCAATGCCACCACAACAAAGCAGCCTGGCCGACGCGTTTCCTTCACCACCCCCCACATGAGCACACACACACACCCCACGTAGGACCTCAGGGGGAAGTCACCTGGCCTCCAGGTTTTCACCCAGGAGCCCTCCTCGTGGGAACATTCTCCACGGTTTCCTGGGGCCAGGGAATTGGCCGAGGCTTCCCCGAGGTTAAATGGCACTGCGGCGCTGTGAATTGATGTGAAATTACATGGTCACGACGAGGCTACTCAGCCATCGCGGTTAAGACATACACAGCATGGCAGGTAGGGGGGGGGGGGACGGGGCTACGAACGGTGGGCTAGAGCACACAGGAGGCAGAATCAGCCGGGTAGGCGCCCGATTGGCTAAAGATCTGCATGAGCACCCGGGTAAACATCTGATTGGCAGGACAAATGTGCTTGTGCGCCACTGCCAATGCAGCAGCCCAGCGGCGGCCCCTTTGATGTGTAAAGGGGGAAACGGACGTCGCTGAGAGCACCGGTGCGGGTGCATCAATCTGATTGGCCGTGAAGGCCGCCGGATCAGCCGAGGGGTTCTTTGATGTGGAAGAAGATAAAATAGGAGAGGAGGGCACGATGATCAGTTCGTGTTCTCCTCAAGCCAGGGGCCGTCGACTTTCCAGCCACTCGAACATCCATGAGACGAGTCGCAGTGCAGCCAGGATTCGCCCCAGGAGCTCCATACAAGTCGAACCGTGAGTACGGGAGAGAGAGATAGAGACCAGTGTGATAATTCCTCGAGAGAGTAATTCGAAATAGTCGGGGCGGATTGGGTTTTAGACCGCCGGGAATAGGCTAGTTATCCTACTAATATTGGCTTTGGGCTACGTAATATTTAGCCTCGGACTCGCCGAGAATAAACCGTTAGTGATCAATAACAGTCTCGTGTGGTTTCTGTGAGTGTGGGGAGAGCACATGGTGGCGTGAGTCCGATCGTCGTAACACGGATATTGGCGTGCGAATAACTATATCGGGGCGACCATTGTGTGCGAATCCGGCCGACGCTCCTCTGTCGTACCCGGGTTTCGCGTGCGAATCCGGCCGACGTTCATCCGCCGTTGTGCCGAGTTTGCGCGCGAATCCTGTCGCCAGTTATTGCGCGCAAATTCTTCCCACTACGCCCGATTCTCGCCGACATTCCTCCGTCATTGTACCCGGGTTTCGCGTGCGAATCCGGCCGACGTTCATCCGCCGTTGTGCCAGAGTTTGCGCGCGAATACCTGTCACCAGTATTCATTATGCAGAGGAGGCAGAGGACGATTAAAGCATTTCTTTAATTCCCCAGTGTACAGCAATACTCGTTCTAAAACCAATCCTGAATACCCACCCCACCGCCCTTTAAATCACCTCCATTATATACTTGCGGCGGCAGCGCGTGTGCGAGTGATGTCACTGTCCTTTGACACCTGACCCCCCGTTCCGCGCGTACGATTGGTGCGTGGCGCCGTGAAAGCGGCGATGCCGGATTTGAGTGCGTGTGCGCGGGTGTGAGCAACAACATGCGGAGAGTCTCCTACTAACGTTTGTAGGAGTGGACGTGGGGAGGCGAGGGATTAATTCCAGGTGGCCAAGCGCAAGCCCCGAGCTATGCCTCACACGGAGGATATGGAGGGGGTGGGGTCGCGGAATCGAGGAGCCGTCGCACGAGTAGAGAAATCTGGGAGCAGCAGCCCTTGCCCGGATGAGGAAGAAGGGAGCAGCGGCTCTCACACGAGTGAGAAGACTGGGGTCAGCATCTCTCACAAAGCCACAGCGCGTGGGAAGCTTTTATCTGCCCATCGGTTCTAGATACACTTCCAGGCTTTACGACTGGACTGAGTGAAGTCCAAGTTGGCAATCACTGCAGCAATGCCGTGCCGTGCCCTTATTTTAGTCACCAGCTTTAATGACCTCTTTCAACAGTCATGTTTCTGGTTCACAACATTCATATAGGATACTCCCTCGGGATGTTTTTTTTTGTGGCAGATGTTATAATTTTAATGAATGTATTGAAGGTTTCAGGCTGTGGCTCCGGGTTCTTCAATTGGGCGTCGTGCTTCAGTCGGTCTTCAGAGAGTTCCAACGTGGTCATGGTGTTGAGGTGATGCCCAGTATCCGTAATCCACTGTGCATCACTGCCGGTCCATGTTGGCTGTTTGTAAAATTGCCGATAGTTCTTGAAGTGGTTAGTGGCATCTGTTCTTGTCCTTTCGAACGAAGCGTGGAGTCGGAATTGTATAATGTATTATTTTAAGGAATATGTCCAAGACCCAAATCCAAAGAAAGCTTGGCTGAGCTTGGCTGTGTTCGCTCCAGCGCTGTCCTCCAGACAGTCTCGTCCCTTCACCTGATGAAGGCCGCTTGTGTTGTGGCCGAAACGTCGTGAGAATTTTATTGTTATTTTATTTTATCAATTTATTATTTTATTCTCATTCTACGCGACTTTACCGAAAGAACCAAAGCAGAAAAAGACAACTCTGTCATAAATCGCAATATTGGAACAAGCACATCCTATCGATTTGTGCATGTGTTTTTAATTATGATCTTAATAAATTTACACAAATTAAGTGACAATACTCTAAATTATAGTTTTACTAATGCTACTCTATTATCTGGATTAAACTTCCATAGGCCGTAGATACTTCTGGTAGAATTGCAGAGATAAAAAAAGAGATTACTTTCGAGAATGCTCTTTCAAGAGGCACCTGAGAAGGTGAACATGCGTAGATTTAGTAACCTGAGAACAGACCACTTTGGATGTATGTTGAACTTCGTTCACACCTAACGTAGCCAACCATGCTAATCGAAGGTGCGGGGGAAGGACAAGAAACTAAACACACAAAGCAGTTTTAAAGAAATTCGTTTTCAAACTGGATTATTTAAAAGTGCATCGCTCCTTTGGCTTCCTAATATTGGAAAGAACAGCATTCCACGCGACCGCAGAAGCGCATCCGAAAGCGCGCGATCTAGCGACCGTCTTTGTTCGATGGCGAGCCATAAGCCGCTTTAGCAGACAGAAGAGTCTTCTGTCGAAAGAAACGAAAGGAGGCCATTCCATCTTGTAAAAGATCGTGACGGGCATCACGGACGACGCTGAATCCCCCTGAAAAAATTCCTGCAAATTATTTGGAGAGCTTCATGGAGTTCACCAGGGGACCGCATGGAGAAAACTGTGACCCATTGGATCCACAAGTGAACCGCTTGGGGAGCACTGCTGCCAACCTTGATCTTCTTCATTATAGATTTATGGGAACTGGCGTGGACGGACATGGAATGTTCATCTCTTCATAACAGTGGAATCTGGCGGTGGCCACCAGTGAAAACTATGCTTAGCGCATTGCAGCGGTCAATTGGAATTTATATATCTGGCTACGTTTTATTGGCGGCAGTTACAATCAAACAATCATTAAAGGATCATATTCGTCACCCTTTACAAGTGTATCAACAATACGTGTCTAATTGCATTCGTGTGGTTTACTTTGTCACGTCTGATTAAAATCCTTCTGCTTTTAATCTCTCCCACGTTTCCAATTCACAAATTTACCCTCACTCAGACGTTCACCTAAAGCAACCAGCGTGAGATTGAGTTCCTTGGACGCGATGGTTACCATCGAGCCATGGCAGTCGCGATAATCGTGCCTCTCACACCGTGCACGATGGCCCTGGGAGCCTCTACGTTTCACGAGATAACGTGAGAACTTTGCACTCGTGTACTCGAAGGCGTGCCCCTGGGCACGCCTTCGAGTACACGCACGAGATGACTCCTGCGCAGCGCGCCTCAGTAGATAGGAGGGAAGTGGTTGCCATTGGCACCCCGTAGGACTGAGCGGGTGGTGTAGTCGTGATCCCCGTCTCAGCGATGGCGTCTCTTCACCGCACGCTTCTTCTCACGGTGTTCATCACTCATCTGACCGGAAGCCAGGTATGTCTCCCTCTTCAGTGTCCGTGTCGATGCACGCTGCACCTAAAACTAAACTTTTTTTTTATTTTACCAGGTAAAGCCCACTGAGCTGTGTATCTCTTTTTCAGAAGCGACCTGGCCACAAATGATAGCTCAACAAAGTGGCTTATCACGTGGACATTTATAGCGGCCAAGTACTCGAAACGCACGTTGATTTTAAATGTGGAGGGAAAAACCGGAGGAACCGGAGAAAAAAAATCCATGCGACCACGGAGAGAACATGCAAACTCAACATACACAGATGCCAGGGGTCGGGATCGAACTCATGAACTTCTGTGTGTCAAGCGAAGTAGTTAACATTTCGGCACCGCGGCGCTATCTACAAGGGCCACGAAGGCACTTTGCCTCTCGTTCATCCAACCGAGAGGCTCAGTGGGAGAGCAAGCGGTTCGCAATGATTTGAAGGTTGGGAGTTTAAATACACGTTGGGGGTTTGCCTCACACCATCATCCCTGCGTGATTGATTAAATGAGTACCACTTTGTAGGGAGGTCAACAGAGGTTGTCCTCTGGAGAGGTCTTGCACCCGCATTAGGAACGTGGAATATTCACCACTGGCTCAGGGCTATTTGATAAGGTGATATGTTTGACTCGATAACCAACAAACGCCATCGTAGTTGTGCATTGGAATCTTAGCCTTGCAAGTCTGTGAGCTGCGACGAGTTTAACAATTGTTCTGTAATGTGACTCAATGAAGCTTACGGAAGTGTTATCCAGTTGAGATGTGCATACTTGACAACCACCATTCAGTACCTATCTTATATTGGTCACTCTGTGCCTTTATAAATGTCAACGTTCATCCTAATAAGTCCCATCACAAGGGACAAACAAATAGACAGAAATATTTTATTTACCCGCATTGAAACGTCTGTACGCCGTACGGACCTGAAAACCAAATTTGCCTGTTCAAGAATACGGGTGAAGCGTACGGGTTGACAGCTATGGATGTCCGTTGGGACTCAATAGTTCCCCATGTGACTTGCCTCGGGCGATCATTGCACGTCTAATCCGCCTGGTTGGACATATGGTTCAAATCAACGCATTGAAAGAAAGCGGTATTCGGTTTGGCAGGAATTATCTCCAGTTAGCACGGTTGGCTACGTACAGCGGGAAAGAAGTTCAACAAATCGTGAAAGGAAGGGAGCTGCGATCGTGGGGTCAGGGCGAGTGCACTGGACTTGCAATCCAGAGGTCCCTGGATCGATTCCATGTCCTGCGCGACAGTTGAACCGTTGGAGGAAACTTTCTCAACCCCCCCCCCAACTCTGTCCACTGAGCAGCAGCAGCCGTGTGAATGGGCTTAACCACAGTGACTCAGCAGTGTGCGTGCTCCCTCCTCTTCCAACACACCTGATCAGCATGGAAGAGTGGCCCATCTACCATAGCCCTCTGGATCTCCCTTGAGTGCAGGAGGTCCTTTCCGCCAGCAGTGGGCGAGCCAGCACTTGCAGGCAGAAGCGAACTGGGACAAAAAAATCGGCCCAGGAATTTGTAAACACACCGGGCCCAAATCGGGGCAAGACGTTGCGATGTGACGTACCGTGGTGTTACCGTGGTGCTAGCGTGGTGTTAGCGTGGTGTTACGGTGGTGTCACCGTGGTGTTAGCGTGGTGTTAGCGTGGTGTCACCGTGGTGTCAGCGTGGTGTTACCGTGGTGTTACCGTGGTGTCAGCGTGGTGTTACCGTGGTGTTAGCGTGGTGTTAGCGTGGTGTCACCGTGGTGTTACCGTGGTGTCAGCGTGGTGTTACCGTGGTGTTAGCGTGGTATTAGCGTGGTGTCACCGTGGTGTCACCGTGGTGTTACCGTGGTGTCACCGTGGTGCTAGCGTGGTGTTACCGTGGTGTTACCGTGGTGCTAGCGTGGTGTCAGCGTGGTGTTAGCGTGGTGCTAGCGTGGTGTTTGCGTGGTGCTAGCGTGGTGTTACCGTGGTGTTAGCGTGGTGTCACCGTGGTGTCAGCGTGGTGTTACCGTGGTGTTACCGTGGTGTCAGCGTGGTGTTACCGTGGTGTTAGCGTGGTGTTAGCGTGGTGTCACCGTGGTGTTACCGTGGTGTTAGCGTGGTGTTACCGTGGTGTCACCGTGGTGTTACCGTGGTGTCACCGTGGTGCTAGCGTGGTGTTACCGTGGTGTTACCGTGGTGCTAGCGTGGTGTCAGCGTGGTGTTAGCGTGGTGCTAGCGTGGTGTTAGCGTGGTGTTACCGTGGGGTTACCGTGGTGTCACCGTGGTGTCAGCGTGGTGTCAGTGTGGTGTTAGCGTGGTGTTACCGTGGTGTCACCGTGGTGTTAGCGTGGTGTTACCGTGGTGTTACCGTGGTACTAGCGTGGTGTCAGCGTGGTGTCAGCGTGGTGTTACCGTGGTGTTAGCGTGGTGTTACCGTGGTGTTACCGTGGTGTCAGCGTGGGGTTAGCGTGGTGTTACCGTGGTGTCACCGTGGTGTTACCGTGGTGTTAGCGTGGTGTTACCGTGGTGTTAGCGTGGTGTTACCGTGGTGCTAGCGTGGTGTTACCGTGGTGTTACCGTGGTGTCAGCGTGGTGTCAGCGTGGTGTTACCGTGGTGCTAGTGTGGTGTTACCGTGGTGTTAGCGTTGTTACCGTGGTGTTACCGTGGTGCTAGCGTGGTGTTACTGTGGTGTTACCGTGGTGTTAGCGTGGTGTTACCGTGGTGTTAGCGTGGTGTTACCGTGGTGTTAGCGTGGTGTTACCGTGGTGTTAGCGTGGTGTTAGCGTGGTGCTAGCGTGGTGTTACCGTGGTGTTAGCGTGGTGTTACCGTGGTGTTACCGTGGTGTTAGCGTGGTGTTACCGTGGTGCTAGCGTGGTGTTAGCATGGTGTTAGCGTGGTGCTAGCGTGGTGTTAGCGTGGTGTTACCGTGGTGTTACCGTGGTGCTAGCGTGGTGTTACCGTGTTGCTAGCGTCGTGTTACCGTGGTGTTAGCGTCTGTTAGCGTGGTGTTACCGTGGTGCTAGCGTGGTATTACCGTGGTGTTAGCGTGGTGTTAGCGTGGTGTCACCGTGGTGTTAGCGTGGTGTTACCGTGGTGTTAGCGTGGTGCTAGCGTGGTGTTACTGTGGTGCTAGCGTGGTGTTACTGTGGTCTTAGCGTGGTGTCACCGTGGTGTTAGCGTGGTGTTAGCGTGGTGTTACCGTGGTGTTAACGTGGTGCTAGCGTGGTGTTACCGTGGTGTTACCGTGGTGCTAGCGTGGTGTTACCGTGGTGTTACTGTGGTGTTACCGTGGTGCTAGCGTGGTGTTACCGTGGTGCTAGCGTGGTGTCACCGTGGTGTCACTGTGGTGTTACCGTGGTGTTACCGTGGTGTTACTGTGGTGTTAGCGTTGTTACCGTGGTGTTAGCGTGGTGCTAGCGTGGTGTTACCGTGATTTTGCCGTGCGATCTCATTGACCCATTTAGGGCTGGGGCCAAAAAACAAATCGGTAGGCGGTGAGGAAGAATCTTTGGGGCTGCCGAATTTGGGGGCTTGATGCCAACTGAGAGTGTAAGGTAGCAATGAAGCGTGGCACATTCGAGGTAATAACATATTTTAATACATAATATAGGAGTTATATTTTTTTACTCAGATCACTTTTGCTACTGGGAGAATCCGGCACTGCACAGAAACGAGGTGACTGCTCTGTTCATGTGGATATGAAGTTGTTGTCTTTAGTGATGTACGTAGCAGCATCCCCCCCCCCCCTCCACCGAAGCGAACACTCTGCATGTCCCTGCTTCTGCACGTAGTTGTCTTCAGGGGAGTTGAGATTCTGCGCGGATTTTATGAGCAGACAAGGGGAATACAAAAATCAATACATAATGCACCCGGACTGCGGCAGCCAGGTTACCGACTCGCAACTGCAAACGACCCTCAATTTCATATCGCAGCACCGGCTCGCGGTCCAGTTCCAGAACAGCGACAAAATCACACTCAGCATCTTCAACATCCTCCACGGACTCACCCCCACCTACCTCTTCTTTCTCATCCCCCCCCCTCCACGCAATCTCCGACCTCTCCCCTCTCATCTCACTCTCCTCCCCTCCACGCACTCTCCTACGTCTCCCTTCTCATCTCACTCGACTGTGACGTGTCTTTAGGCATGGTTATTCTTGCAGCATAAACATGTGTTTCATTCCGTGCAATAAAAAAAAGTAAAAACGATAACATTGGGACGATCTGTAAAAGCCTCTCTGCTTGTGAACCAATAACCGAGCAGGCATTGCGACTAATGCAGCTGTGCGCGCTCTCTCTCTCTCTCGTTACAGTCTATTGAGGACAGGCAGCGCACCGTGGGTGAGTGCCGCGGTTTCGGTGGTCTGTGGCCATGAATGCCGGCGTGAGACACCGTGACAAGCCGCTCCGTGCATTTGGCCTGGCGCGTTAACTCGCAGCCAAATCGTCAAGTTCATCCGCATCTCGCAACGCCCCAAATGTCACTCGCATCATAGGTAAAATACAATGTGATGACCACTCTGGACCTTATTATTTTTTTTTCAGAGAAAGATGTGGATGAAGGTCAAAAATGGGACATATTTGACGTTAACAAGGGTGAGTTTCCATGTTCACGATGCTGCCACTTTTACAACGATGCAACAAAACTTCTGTAATCCACCTACGCAATCCCTACTTCTCCAATTACTGCCACTCTTGTAATCCACCACTCCTGTAATCCACCACACTTGTGATCCACCAGTCATAAAATCCACTTGTATATTTTGTGATTACATTTTTAACATTTAATTAAATATTGTCAAATAATAAAATGATAAAAATTTTACATTAATGAAAACATATGTTAATATATGTAATTAAGTGTAACAAACAAAAAACGTGTGTTAAGTGTAATTAATTATGTGTGTTAAAAACGTAATGATTAATGTGTGTGTAATTATATTGTGTGTGATCTCGTTGTGTGTGCAGTTATTATGTGGTGTGATAATTATTATTAGCCCTTTCGTTAGTCTTTTTGGCTCGTGCTTTGTCAGTGACTTAATTTCTTGCGTTGGGTCTTGCTCTTAACATATTCCCTGTGCCCGTCAGATGAGGGGTGTGTGTGCTTTTTAATTCACTCTTGCTATGTGTTTTTGTGTTGGTCCCATGACTTGCTGTGATTGACGAGGCATCGCTCTCGTGCGTGTCACGCCGGTCATGCTTTCGTGGCACGGGTCGCCCTCGCGAGTCTCTTTTTTGTCTCGTCTGCCCTTTATCAGACCGACCCGTACGTTTTAATGCGAGTTCACAATATTTCTCTTCCCTTCCTCTTGATTCCCTAAAATCAATTAAATATCCCGGTCCTCTGACCCGAAACCAAACGTCCAGTTTTTCGACCCGGAATTCCGCTTATCATAAGTCATTTTTTATTATTATTATTGTACACGCTTTTATTTAATTCAACTCTGTCTGTTGTCATATCCTCAAATCTTGTAACTCAATTTTTACCCACTTCCCAATGTGCTATCGACAGCAAACTTGGTATACTTAAGTCATACTGGTGACAATACTATATTCTATCACAAAAAAGAAAAATATATATTTTAAAACAATCTTTTTTATATGTTATGTTTCGGCTTGGGTCTTTTTGTCCACGCTCAACTCACGTTGGCTGTAAATCACCACGGTCCCTTACGTTATGGCAAGCTTCGGAGTGGTAGAGTTCTGCAATTACTCGTACGGTACATTTCATGAAAGCGTGTTTTTAAAAAAAGTATTTGTAAAGACTCAAGGAGACTATCTTAATTTTAGCATATCATGTGTGACGTAAGCTACTCTGGCAATCCGACCCAGAGTGCGACTTTTAACACATTTACTGTCAGGTACCACCAGGCCAGTTCAGAACACACACACAACAGCGGTTCATGTAATAATGCATGCATCGACTGTCTGCAGGAGATCCCGGACGAACAAACCCCAATATTTTGTAGATAATTTATTTAACAAAATTTTGTATCACAAAATATACAACACACCACTCCTATAATCCACTACTCCTGTAGTCCACTACTCCTATAATCCACCACTCCAAAATCCAACACTTCTATAATCTACCATTCGTATTATTCACCACTCCTATAATTCACCACTCCTATAATCCACCACTGCTGTAATCCACGACTCCTGTAATCCACCACTCATGTAATCCACCACTCCTGTAATCCACCACTTCTATCATTTACCAGCCCTGTAATCCACACTCCTATAATCCACCACTACTGTAATCCACCACTCCTATAATCCACCACTCCTATAATCCACGTGTGCCGTATCGGGTTCCGCGCATTGCGGTCGTGGGCAACATTGGGCAGATTAACGCAGCCTCCACTGTGCACCAATCTCCACCCACCCCCACGGTTAGCAGCACGTCACCTTCTCCGTTGCTCGCTGACTGCAATGTACGCGGTGTCGGGCTGATTGTGTGCGATCGATTACAGATATGAACCTGATTGAGGGAGACATTGCGTATGACCAGGTGAGTAGATTATTCTGCATGCAACTTAATTTGCCTTGCCGTACGTTTAGTTGTGGTGTGATCTACATCGCACGTACCACCTTGTTAGGATTGTTAAGTTGTTTATGAAAAGAAAGCTTCACAGTTCATCGGATTCCTCCTGCAGTCTAAATAAAGATGCTGCTCCTGATGATTGCCCATTCCGCACGGGGCACGTCCGCTCGTAGTGTAACATCGTGAGTAAGATGGTCAATGTGACGTCGTGCATGGCTGGGTAAATGAGAAACAGCAAATCGTCGCATCTCTACTGCGACAACTTCGCCAGCACCCTCCTCACACGGAGTCTTGAGACTCTCCTGGGTTAAACACGCACAACGATGTGAATAATGTCAACGCTCGTTAATTGGCCGATGACTCAGCTTCATGACTAGAGGACCGCAGAGCTTGGGCAATTGTTGACGTCGGCTCCCTCGCCGCGTGGCTGTTGCCCTCCCCGCTCGTCTGTGGTTCCTCCTCGCCCCCTCTGCGTCGTTCGCTGCGTCCGAGTGAGAGCGGCGCCGTGTTGCGAGTCGACGTTTGTCACGAGTGCCATGGGCCCAGTAGCGTCGCTCGCTCGCGTGGGGTAGGCAGGGGGTGCCTTGCCCTCCCCCCCGTGGCCAAAGCTATGAGTTGGGGGCCCCCTTGACACCCACCGCGAGATGTGTTTTCAACAACAGTGTGAAAGAACAAAAATTCAAAACGCGGTTTGAATAAATTGTTTTCATGAAAATGCTTCATGATGTGATGAGGCAAGGGGAGTCGCGATATATAATCGCCTGAGTGCGATAGTGCGAAACAAATCACAACATTGGGGGGCCCTACTTGACCGATTTTCGCAGCCCCCGAAGCTAATCATGTCGTTGACTACGCCACTGCGTGCGCCGCAATGTATTCTGGATGCGCCCTGTGTGTGTGGCTGCGTGTGCTGTGCTCTGTAAGGTGTATGCAAGAGGTCGAAGTGCAGTCCGTGATGACCGCTACCGATGGCCCAAAACCATCCCTTACTACCTGGACATCAGCCTTGGTCAGTCGCGCCGATTTCCCAGTGCCTTCGACGCATTTCAATGGTTGTGTTTTTATTGCGACACAATGCGAGCTCGGTACGATACGCCAATAAGTGGACGTATTTGACACATGGCCTTCTGTGTGCGTGTATATATATGGGTGCATTAATTGCTCCAAATCTGTCTCGTGTTTCCATAACTTGCAATTCATGTTTGTAAGATGACCAGAACACCCATTACAGCAGAAACATTCGGTGGTCATTTAGACCACCGACTTACAGAGTTAATAAAAAAAACGTGGCCACCATCCCAACAGGCAGCATTGAAACAAGGACACAGCTGTACACCGATTTCATTCGTATTAGGACTCATCAGTACGGTACATTCATCAACGTTAGCTGTTGCCGTATGCCTCTGGGAACCTCGTATGTGGAGGGGCCTCACCTCCACGCCCCATGAGCATCCCTCAAGACAACGATATTTTGCTCCGCTTATTTTTCTGCTACGATGGGTGAACACGATACACGCCTCTGTTCACCCCTTTTGGACTGCGGCAGATAATTGTGGAACACAAAGACGGTGAAGAACAGCGGAGATGCTGAAGTGTTTGTTTCTGGCAGGGCTGCCACCGTCTCCTCTTTTTACAACACTGCGCAGTTTATTGCAACAATAAAGTTCAACGCAACAACGCCAGTGCCAGATCTCTGTGCAAATGTTTTTTTAATTAAACTATTTTTTTATATTAGCAGGCAAGGTCCACTGAGCTGTGTAGCTCTTTTTTCAGAAGCAACATGGCCACAAATGATAGTCCAACGAAGTGGCTTATCACCTGAAAACGATGGCAGCAGCCAAACACTCTAAACGCGTGATTCTAAATATGGAGGGAAAACCGGAGGACTCAAAGAACAATCCGCATGACCACGGGGAGAACACGCAAACTCCAAATATGCAGCAGACGTCAGGGTTGGGATCGAACCCACGACCTCCTGGATACGAGGCGAGGTAGTTAACATATATCACTGCCTTGGTGCAAATCAATACCTGCCAGCCGTACACAGACGCCAATTGCCGGACAGGTGGCAACCCTTGCATCTTGCCAAGTGACAACTATCTCGGGGTCTCCAACGAAGGCGGTGGTGCAATGCGAATGTCGTGTATTGAGTAAGACCAAAATGTATTTATGAGCAAGGGTTTGGGTCTGGATTTGTACATTTAGACGTGAATGCCAAGGGCGTTATTATGCAAGCGTTTGAGATGTACCGACTCAAGACCTGTATCGACTTCAAGCCCTGGGCTGGCGAGCGAGAGTACATCCAAGTCATCAAAGGCAGCGGGTAACTCTCTCACTATCTCACGTTTCACCACCACCACCACCATTGTCAAAGACAAAGATCCCCCGTATAGCATTCACAGACTTCTTGGTTCTTACGGTAAAGTCACGTTGAAGGGAAACAATAAAATAATAATATATATATATAAAACAATACAATTCTCACGACGTTTCGACTGTAACACAAACAGTCATCATCCAGTGTGAAAAACCAACGGCAAGAAGCATTTGAAAGAAGTGGCGGTTTGTATTTATTAATTTATTTGCAAACGGTTTATTTATTTTTGGCAGTGTTTGCATTTATTTATTTTTTAAACGTTAGCGCCACGGATAGCGATTTGTCAGTTTGTTTAGAAGGACGAGTCCATCTATGTTCGGAAAAGAGGAGGGGGGAGACGAAAATTTAATGTATGCTGTCTGAAAGCCACCGTAAGCGTGAACAATCAATTAAGACCGGAAATGGTTTATCAAATCCTTCCAATGAATACTAAGCCAGAATCCATCTTCTCGGTTGAAATTGTTTCTGTGTTTGTATATGTGGATAGCCTCATGAACGAATCTCTCATGGTAGCCCGATGGCTTGCAAAGAACCTCTGTCTTGGAGAAGTCAATGTCATGTGAGCCTACTGAATTATAACAGTGATCTGCCACGGCCGAGGTGTTGGTCCTACCGTGTTTAAGGTCTGCTTTGTGTTCACGAATGCGGTCCGAGACATGTCGTTTGGTTTCTCCAATGTAACTACTACCACAGAGGCAACTTAGTTTGTAGACACCAGGGTACTGTATGTCCAGATTCACATCTTTTACAGACGGAACCAGATCACGGATTTTATGTAATGTGTTGAAACGGACCTGGATCTTGTGTTTATTCAAGATTTTGGAGATTTTTTGTGATCCCCGCAATGTAGGGTAAATTGATGGTTTTGAAAGGCTCCTCAAGAGGGTCCTTCATGGTTTGAGTGATAGCTTTGCGGATTCTATAGTCGGAGTAACCATTAGCCTTAAGAGCTTGGTGTACATGCTTGAGTTCACTGCCTATGTGTTCCTGGTCGGATATGCATTGGGCTCTATGGTGCAGAGTCTTGATGAGAGAATTCTTCTGTGATGGATGGTGGTGGGAATCCGGTTTCAGATAAGCATCCGTATGGGTAGCTTTCCTGTAGACAGAGTGGCTCATTGAACCATCCGGTCTCTTTTTATTAGGACATCCAAAAAAGGTAGCTTGCCATCTTTTTCGACTTCCATGGTAAATCTGATGGCTGGGTGTATAGAATTGATGTGGTCGAAGAATTGGTCTAGAGCAGGCCGGCCATGTGGCCAGATGACAAAAGTGTCATCCACGTACCTCTTCCATAAGGTTGGGCGCAGAGTGGCAGTCTGGATGGCGTCAGTCTCAAATTTTTCCATGAAAATATTGGCTACAACCGGAGATAGGGGGGAGCCCATTGGGGTGCCCTCAGTTTGTTTGTAGAAAGTTCCATTCCAAGTGAAGTATGTATTGGTTAAGCAGTGTCTCACCAGGGGGGGGGGGGGGGTACCTCAGTGTTTAGTCCTTGATGAACCAAGTCTTCAATGATTGCGATGGTGTCAGGTACAGGAACTTTGGTGAATAAGGAAACTACATCAAAACTGACAAGCAGGTCGTCTGGGGACAGGGAAATACCCTTGATTGTCGATACCAGGTGAGTAGAATTTTGTACCGCAGAGGTGGTTTTTCCAGGGAAAGGCCGCAGGATTTCAGACAGAGAACGAGCCAGTTTGTAGGTGGGGGAGTTGATCATAGAGACGATGGGACGAAGGGGTGTATCTACTTTATGTATTTTTGGTAAGCCGTATAATCTTGGTGGCCTGGCAGCAGAAGGTTTCAACGAAAACTGTGTAGTTTGATCAATTAATGCGGTTGAATCAGAAATTATTTTGTTGGTTTGTGTGACGAGGCTGTTGGTGGGATCTCTTTTTATTTTTGTATAGCTACCATCGTTGAGTAATTATTTAATTTTGTTGTTATATTCTATTTTATCCATGATGACAGTAGCATTGCCCTTGTCGGCTGAGAGGATTACAATGTCATTCCTCTTTTTTAATTTATATAATTCAAAACGCTCATCTTTCTTGAATAAACACAAGATCCAGTTCCGTTTCAACACATTACATAAAATCCGTGATCTGGTTCCGTCTGTAAAAGATGTGATTCCGGACATACAGTTCCCTGGTGTCTACAAACTAAGTTGCCTCGGTGGTAGTAGTTACATTGGAGAAACCAAACGACATGTCTCGGACCGCATTCGTGAACACAAAGCAGACCTTAAACACGGTAGGACCAACACCTCGGCCGTGGCAGATCACTGTTATAATTCAGTAGGCTCACATGACATTGACTTCTCCAAGACAGAGGTTCTTTGCAAGCCATCGGGCTACCATGAGAGATTCGTTCATGTGGCTATCCACATATACAAACACAGAAACAATTTCAACTGAGAAGATGGATTCTGGCTTAGCATTCATTGGAAGGATTTGATAAACCATTTCAGGTCTTAATTGATTGTTCACGCTTACGGTGGCTTTCAGACAGCATACATTAAATTTTCGTCTCCCCCCTCCTCTTTTCCAAACATAGATGGACTCGTCCTTCTAAACAAACTGCCAAATCGCTATCCGTGGCGCTAACGTTTTAAAAAAGAAATAAGTACAAACACTGCCCCAAAATAAATAAATAAAGCGTTTGCAAATAAATTAATAAATACAAACCGCCACTTTTTTCAAATGCTTCTTGCCGTTGGTTTTCACACTGGATGATGACTGTTTGTGTTACAGTCGAAACGTCGTGAGAATTTTATTGTTTTATATATATTTTATTATTTTATTGTTTCCCTTCAACGTGACTTTACCGAAAGAACCAAGAATATGAATCACTGCAGTCACGAAAGCTTTAAATCAAAACATTCACAGACTGTTGGGGCAAGTGCTGTTAGCGAGCACCTATGAAGGCCGGCACGGTACACGAGGGGGTGGGTGGCCAGCACCATGACCTACTGCCTTCGTCTCCCCAGTGTCGATGTTTACACACCGCACCAGGCACTCATTTGAGGCTGAATTGACCTAGGGGAGGCCCAGAACCAGTTCAGATAATTGTTACTGGTGTTGGCCGTGAGCGGGAATCGAACTTGGGCCGCCGGGTTCGTAGCACAGTGCGTTAACCGCTACGCTAACGTTCTCCACACCACCAACATCGTCATCATCACCATCGTCACCATCGTTCGCCATGATCCATCCACTGCTAGATGGCCTGAAACCCCCGCCACCTCTCGCGGATCGCGAGAGGAGGTGGTGGCACCCACGCACGAACTGATCTCATCACTCCATCTCCCCAGCGGTTGTCCTCTCAGACGCTTTCCATTCCTTGGCTGCCGCTCCGTTATTAGTCTCGACCGTCGACTATTGTCCCTTCTGGCCACGACGCGTCCCGCCCCAGCAACGCTCACTAACCCTTCACAGTGTGGACGATGTCCATCGCCCTGCCTGTGCTCTCCAATCCACGCGTTCCTCTCTCTGTCTTTCAACGTAACTTCAAGCATGCTTGGAATTTAGCTCATCTTCTCCGTACACGTAAACGCTGCCCATCACACACAGTACCACATTGGAGGCGGCGCAGCTGCTTGGAGGCTCACGCACGCACCCTCCCTGGACGTGAGCCCATCATCACTCCTGCTGCCACCTTGTTCCGTAGACTGCCACACCGCAACTTCGTTAATTGTGGATCCCAGTGAACGAAGTTACGGTGTAAATTTTTGTAATTCGTCGAATGTGGATTGTGACGCCAGCGCACAATGGCCGACTGCTCATGTAAAACGACGTCATACAACTGCATTTGCAAATGTAATTTGTAACTTTCATCCCTACCCACATTTTAATGTGCAATTTTATTGAGCGACTCTGTGTTGTCTTGGTGTGGTCTGGGTCTGTTCTAGCTGTTGCTTTGCTGTCTTTCCCAAGCTTGGGAATTGGTGTACTTATGCAATTCGAACTTATATACTATTTTACATATTCATTTTTTGTGATTTTATTACCTTTTTATACTTTGCACTCCTATCGTTTTATTTATCGTTTGGCGTTGTAACCTTCTGACCCTATGCCCCGACTAGACATCTGTGAAAAAGAGCTTCATAGCTCATCGGATTTCTCCAGGATAAATACAAATTCTCACTCTGACTATTTGGAACCCTTAACGTCCACCGCCGAGCGAGTCGGATGGCGTGCAAGGTTTTACAGTGAATGTGCGTGGCAGCATTAGCCAAGGCGGCCTACGATCCTTGAACCTCCGCTAGGGGCCGCGGGGCGTGCCACCGTTGGGCCGCGTCGACACCCAGCTGAGATGTGCCGCGGTCGCCGTGTCCCACAGGTGCTGGTCCTATGTGGGCAACCTTCACTACGGGAAGCAGGAGCTCTCCATCGGCGCCAACTGCGACCGCCTGGGCACCGTGGAGCACGAGTTCCTGCACGCGCTCGGCTTCTGGCACGAGCAGTCGCGCGCCGACCGTGACGACTACGTCACCATCGTGTGGGATCAGATCCTGAACGGTGAGGGCCCGGGCACGGCCTTCGCTCTGAGCAACGACTTTGAGTGACTCTCTCCTTTCTCTCTGTCTGTCTCTGCTGCTTTCTTCACACTGCTCCACGTTGGGAATCCCCTCCCATCGTCATCGTCATCCTCGTCGTCCCCTTTAACCTCGCCCATTTAATGGGCGTATGTTGAGCTTCTTTTGCACTGTACGTAGTGAACCGCGCTAATCGGAGGTGCGGGGGAAGGATAAAAAAATCAACACAAAAAGCACTTCAAAAGAAGTCAGTTTTCAATTTTCTGATTTAAAAGTGCATAGTTACAGTGGCTTCCTAGTATCAGAAGGAAGAGCGTTACAAACGGCCGCAGAAGCACATCTGAAAGCGAGCGATGCAGTGACCGTCTTTAAAAACTCATATCTGCATATTACGACATCGATGCTCGTGCTGTTTGTGGCTGGACACTTTACGGTTTTGGCCTTGGGTGTGTGCTCAGCAGCTATGTTAACATCCATCTCAGTGTACTAGCTCTCGAGTGTGGCGTTCGTGTCCCTCCGTGTCTCGTTTTCTTCAATTTCCCCTCCCTGCTCCTACACGCACGTGTCCCATCCAGCGTTCTCGCCCGGAACATCCGCATGGGCTGTGATTGTAATGGTGCCTGCGCACTGTGTGAACCGCATGGTGCGTGGTTGCGTTTCGCAGGCAGGGAAGGGAACTTTGACAAGTACGAGGACGACGTGACGGATCTACAGAACGTGCCCTACGACTACTCCTCCATGATGCACTACGGCGCCAGCGCCTTCCAGAAGGCCGAGGAGCCCACCATCGTCACGCGCATCCCTGACTTCATGCAGGTCATCGGCCAGCGCTCCGACTTCAGCAAATATGACCTCCAGAAGCTCAACCGCCTCTACAACTGCAGTGAGGGGCGCGCGGACGACGGGGGGTCGGTGGTGCGCGGACGGCTGAGGCCTCACGCGGGGCGAAGGGAACGTCGACACGCGGTGACGTCTTCTCTATGGTCACACAAAACTAGTGTACAGATCCTGCCACGTCGCACACTCCCCACTCCCGTCGTCATCATCGTCTCTTTCCCCGGGCTCTTATAACCATCATAATCACAATAATAACCTCGCTCAATTCACAAAACGCGTTGACTCTCATACGTCACAACGTTGATAATGCTGTTTGTTTCCGGCCGCTTGACGCTCTGGGCCTTGTGGGCCTTGTGCTCGACAACCGTAAACATAATTGTCAATAATCAAAGAATGGAAATGTAACCACCTTGCCGTAGCGTCACAGCACTCCGGCTAACCAGGAGACGACGGCCACGGCGGCCACGGGGCGTGGGTGGTCGATTCACGACCGTTCACGCGATCCGCCAACTTCCCTCGCTGCCTCTTGTGTCCCTCAGCGTAGCCACCTCCGCGATGCGGCGTTTGCCGCTCGTTGCAAAGTTTCGAGGTTTGAACCCGGCATGCCTGCCCCGATTAATGCCACGGGCATGTAAACCGTGAATACTACACGCGGTCTGCTTGACAGTGGGCGTTTAAGATCCCACGACGCCACTCCAAACGAGCAGTAGGCCAGGGTCCAAATTTAAGGTCCACTGGGACTACATAGCTCTTGTTCAGAAGGAACTTGGCCATAAATGATAGCTCAAAGAAGTTGCGTATCACGTGGAAATATATCAGCAGCAGTGGGGGGTAGGGGGAGGGGGAAACTGGAGGGCCTGGAGAAAAATCTTCGCGACCACAGGGAGAGAGAGAACATGCAAACTCCAATTATACAGGCGTCAGTGTTGGGATCGAAGCCACGACCTCCTTAATACCAGACGAGGTAATTAACACCTCACCACCGGCCTTGGTAGGTGCTCGCTAGCTGTACTTGCCCCAACAGTCTAAGGCTCTCGGGGAGAATCTTTGTCCTTGTCGACTCTGTGTCGAGCAGCTCGATCGCTTGCGTTCATGGAGCAGTGCAACTTTGAGGAGCTCAACATCTGCGGGATGATCCAGGGAGCCGGTGACACGCTCGACTGGCAGCAAGTCACGTCCGCTGTCAATGGACCCGCTTCAGACTTCACTCACCTGACAAGTTGCCCGGGTAAATATATCACGGCATTGTTTAATTGGACCAACCCCTGTGTGGCTCTCGTAGCGTCAGCTAAAGCCGAGAACTCAAATCCTTGTGTATAAGCCCCAGTCCCCCATAGAGGTCGTCGTTGTGCTCGCGTGGCTGTAAATGAGCGAAGTCGCGCGTTTCTCATCTGGCAGCTATTTAATTTTTATTTCAGCAGGTAAGGCTCAGTGAGCTATCTAGCTCTGATTCAAAAGCGACCTCACCACAAATGATAGCTCAACAAAGTGGCTTATCACGTGGAAATGTATAGCAGCCAAATACTCTAAACACATGTTTATAAATCTGGAGGGAAAACCGGAGTAAAATGCACGCGACCACGGAGAGAGAGACGTGCAATCTCCAAATAAATGGGCATCATGGTCAGAAATGAACCCACGACCTCCTGAATACCAGGCAAGGTAGTTCACATCTGGCCACCGCGGCGCCCTACAAATAAATAAGTGGGCTGTCCAATATGAGGATTGAGCAATTTCTACCACTGGCTCTGCCGGGCTGTAAAAGGGAGATGAACACTGCCTCGATGCTCAAATGAGCAGCCAGACATCACCTTGACTTTGACTAAACAATGGGGAATCTGAGCCGTAAGGATGGGTTCAAGGACTCTTTAGAGATGCAAATGGTGCTGGAAGTGTCGTGTGAGGAGACTGGACGGGAAGTGTCAAGTGGAGTAAGTGGGGAAGGAGGAGGGAGTGGAGGAGGACGACGTTGCATTGTTTATTACCAGCTTCATACATGAGATGCACAGGTTTTAACATGTTTACAAGTAAAATTATAACTTGTACACGTGAATATTAATGTTTGACTATGCCAGATAGTGAAGGTCTTACGAAATAAATTTGGCAATATCAATCGGTGTTTAGAGCAATTTCAAAACATTCCCCGAATTTAATTTCATAATGCACCCGCTTATCCAGTATGCAAGTACAAAAAGTCACAGAAAATAGTTAACTTCCCGATTCATGCAGTCTATGCTTCAGGAAGGGTTGCTGGGAACGAACGCCGATAACAACCATCGGGAGACTGCTGGTCTGGCCGTCGTCAATACAGAACAAGCCCAGCCGTGTGCATAACTCACATATGCTACATCGCCACAAATCCGCATTACACAAGGGATGGGGGCACGAGGTCAATGGGACCACTCACCTGAGTCGGGGGGAGCGAGAGGAGGGGTGGAAGGTGATTGGCCCGGGAGAGTTGAAAGGGAAAGGTACAGAGGGGTTAAAGGAAAAGCACGCTAGGTGATCGGTAATTTTGCCAGGCGACCCTCCACGCGTGCATTGGTCCGTTCGAAAAATGCCTAAAGAAGGAACAACCACGCATCTGGAAGTCCTCTACGCGTGTGCACCAACATCGCGTTGTGCCCACCTGCTTGTGGGCAGCTCGTTTCTTATTCTTCCTCTTCAGCAGGAAAAAGGTGAGGCCCGAGGCAGCTATTTAATTTTTATTTCAGCAGGTAAGGCTCAGTGAGCTATCTAGCTCTGATTCAAAAGCGACCTCACCACAAATGATAGCTCAACAAAGTGGCTTATCACGTGGAAATGTATAGCAGCCAAATACTCTAAACGCACGTTGATTTTAAATGTGGAGGGAAATACCGAAGGATCTGGAGAAGCATCCAGCAGCAATCCTGCCTTGTGCGATGCAATGCCGAGGCAGCCGTACAACCACTTATTTCCTACTCGCTCGGATTAATTATGGTCACTCATCACGTTAGATCCAATTTGCATTATGAAAACAACACGCTTTATAGGAGAACAGACTGTACTTTAATTTGTAATGTAGAGGGAGAGCTATGGGAAGGAGGTGTATGGCCTGAATATTAATTTTGCTACCGATATTCTGCACGACACTGATGATTTCTTGTAGAGTTTTGTGTTGAACTACCCACGTCTAACAGAGGCAGAGGGGGGTCTTTGCCTATAAACATCTACAAGTTCAGCATTGGTTCAAGTGATCTTGACTCTGCTGATGAGACAATTAATGTCGAAACCGGTCCAGAGTTTGATTTTAATGAATCAACGCCGCTGAAGTAATGCACTCTCGGAAGGCCTGTTGGCTGATGGGATGTGTATAAAATACCGTTTATGGTTGATATGGCGAGATGGCTATGTGAAGGAGGCGTATCGTCTACCTATTCTTTTTTTTACATTCTCCATCGGACGTTTAATGACGTCGAGCGGTGTTGGACGGTCGTCTCTGCGTTGGGCGGTCATCGTTGCAGGGAAGGGCAGCTTCATGTTCATGAACACCTCAGTGGGCACCAACGGGAGCCGTGGGCTACTCGAGACGCGGACGCTGGTTCCAAAGCGCCAGCAGGACCAATGCCTACAGTTCTACTACTCCGGCAGCAGTGGGCAGCGTGGGGACAAGCTCGGGGTCCACGTGCGCGTCGGCAACTCCACCGAGCTCAAGGAGGTCATGGGGGTCACTGGTAACGACGCAGACCAAACGTTGCGGCTCGACGCCTCGAGGCACTCGTTTCATTGCAGCCTCGAACACCACACCCTGTACAGCGTGGAGCTGTCGGGTTGCTTGAGACGATCCAACACTCGCCAATTCACTCCGATCACATGCCCACTGGCAGTCAGTCACCACCTTATTACTCTTGTATCACAACTACAGTGGTGACTGTTCCTGTGAAATCCACTCGATGATTGCGCCAGCCATGTTGAGGATTCGGTCCATTGGACTCTGACTCTCTTGTCTCATCGACCACACTGTGTTCAACCACGACACTGTAGGTCACAACAGCGCACTCACCCACCCACACACTTACTCACCCACCCACTCACTCTCCCACTCACCCACTCACACACTCACCCACTTATTCCCGCACTCACCCGCTCACCCACCCGCCCACCGGTTCTGGCTGCTTTCCGTGTCTCTAGTTTCCTGCGCCTCCATGCGAAAAAAAAACGAGCGCAGTACCAATTCTCCAGTATTGTGAGATGGGATCTGCGCCACTAAAAATCAACTCGGTGCCCTGCGCGTGTGTCTGTCCCCCCGCCCCCCCCCCCCCCCCCCCCCACCGAGCATCACAGATTTCAGTGACGCTCGGTGGAAGTTTGTCTTCCATCCACTGGCAGAGACGCAGCCATTCCGCGTGGTGTTCGAAGGAGTGAAGGGTTCGGCCACCTCTCCAGGGGGCATAGCCATCGATGATGTCAGCATCATGGAGGTGAAGTGTCCCACCCACATGTGGCGTATCCAGAATTTCTCGCAAGTTCTGGCGTCGTCGCCGTCGGGGCCCGGGGGCACGATCTACAGCCCGCGGTTCGAGAGCGGCGAAGGCTACAACTTCCAGATCTCCATGTACGTCAATGGCACCAGCGACAATCCCGGGAACCTGGCGCTGTATTTCCACCTGATGAGCGGCGACAAGGACAACTCACTGACCTGGCCCTGCCCGTGGAAGCAGGCGACCATGAGCGTGATGGACCAGCACTGGGACGTCGGGGACCGGATGTCGCGTACTCGCAGCGTCACCACCGATCCGAAATACGAGGGCACCAACCGTGAGCACCGCACGCGCACAAAGACAAATGGTCTCCCAAATAGCCTTTAGTGAGCACCGATCAATGCATCAATATGCATTTAGATTTTTTGGCTTATACTCTAAATTCCCACATGATAAGCTACTTCGTTGAGTTATCATTTGTGGCTAGGTTGCTTTTAAAAATGAGCATAAAGCTAAAACGTCCTTACCTGGTAAATAAATAACTAGTAAATAGTGGTCGTAGTATGAGCAACACGCACACCGGCACATTAATAGATGTCACCAAATTCTGACAAAGTGACAGCACCTTCCAGAACACAGGGGCAAGGCTGTTCCTCACCACATAAGGGATGCATCTTAGATTAATGTTGAATGCTGAATATTACGATCGTGCGTGTTATAATAATTGAGTTTGCATTTGTAATGCGCCGATAAAATAATAACGAAATGTCTCAGAGCGCAGTTTGCTTTAGCCTACGGGACCCCCGGATGGCAGCTGTCCCTGTGCTGCACACGGTGACTCAGCACAGGCGTGCAAGTGGCCATTCGTCTACCAGTCATGGGCGATGCTTGCTGCTGCGTGTAAACCCAATTTTAAGATTGGCAAATATCGAATCTAATGTGAGTAGGGTTGCTGACGGTCGACGTTATTAGCAGACTTTGAGATGTTTACACCACCAGCAGGTTAACCGTAGGGAGATCTCCAGCAGACTACGAGCCCTCATCTCCTGTCTTTTATGTCCTCTCACGACCCCTCCTACTTCTGGAACCTTCCAATCTGCCACAGCGATATTTAACCAAACTCTCACCTGAATTTTCAACTCCTAAATCCCCTTGCAAGCCCTTCAGCCAATCGCATGCTTGCCAGTAGCAACAAACAATCGATCACGAGTGGCCGTTCTGCCTGACCAAACCAGGATCGTTCCAGTACAGCGATTAGCCAGTGGGTAAACGCCGATGTTTATCATAACAGATCGACTTCGACGGCTTTTACACAACAACGACTAATCTCTCCCTCCAACCTCACTCTCTCCTCCCCTCCCCCACACCCAATGCGATGTCTTCACAGCTGACGGAACCACTTACTATTACTGGGACCGGCCAGACAAGGTGGGGTCTCTGGTGTCCGGTGAAAAGTACTTCCGGGGACCCGGTCTGGGAACGAGCAGCTTCATGTCGCATCACACGCTGCTCTCACGCAACTACGTCAAGGGCGACGAGCTCATGGTGCTCATCGCCTTCGCAGGTGGGCTCCCCGCCAGGCACCACCACCCACACCGGCAGAGCAAAACCGCCACTGTCGGTGTCGTGAGGAATATAGCGAACGGAATAAACGAGCATACAAGGATTGCCTCCTTCACACAGCAGAGTTGGGCTTGCTTGAACAGACGGTGAGTTTCCGGATGAGGATCCTTGCCAATAAACATCTGACAGTTTACCAGCATTGGCTAAAGCATGCCTGACTTTATGATAAGACACTGAATGTTGACATCGGTCCAGAGCTTGCTTGCACAGTATTGCACCAATGCTGTAAAAATTCCACACTCCCAGAAGGCCGTGATAGGGTTAGTGATAGGGGTAGTGATAGGGGTCGTGATAGGGTTAGTGATAGGGTTAGTGATAGGGGTAGTGATAGGGGTAGTGATTCGGGGTTGGGATCGGGGGCAGGGAGTAGCAGTGGTAGGTTGATGATGGGCTAGGGTAGAAGAGATGGGGTTGTTTTAAGGGAGGAACGGAAGCTGGTTCGTGAAGATGGTTGCTCTGTGTGCTGCAGTGGGAGTTAGTTCCAGTGAAGAGGAGCGAGATGAGAGAAGGAACGAGAGAGCGAGACTGAGCGTAGGGAGAGGGAGGCACAGAGAGGAACAGGAGAGTTTGCAGAGGTGGAACGACGAAATAACCTCGAGCGTAGTCGCTAGATGATTGTTATATTACAGTGCCGTGAATGGCTTGGGATGGCCTTCATCCATCAGTAGATTGATCATGGCTGATGATAATGCATTCATACTGCCTCATGAAAAGGGTAAAGGTGCAGGGCCTTCAACTGCTTGCTCAGGCCGTAAAAGCAAGCTCGCGAGGGTACCTGGTCTACTCTTTCACGCTGACCCCGATGCGTCGGAAGAGGTGGGCATACCCACACGTGACCCCACCCACACGTGACCCCACCCCCACGTGACCCCACCACACGCGACCTGCCCGTCGACTGCGGTGCGCCCGCATTCGCTGCCGGGTGGACAGAGGCGGCGAGGAGTGCGGTGGTTGAGAATCTTGCGCCGTTGCGACTGCTGCGCCCGCAGACCGCATCGAACTGGGACAGCAAGGCCAGCGCGCTGCCACCCTTTACCACCGCGACAGCTGCCTCTTTTGCCTCGCTGATAATTTGCATGCCAAGAAATACATACGATGGTTATTCATCTCTAATTGTATCATGATGATGTCTTGAAACTGCAGATGTGGCCCACCTGGTCGCGGAGCAACCACGCCCCTCGGCTACAGCCAAACCGCCGGTTATTCCCGGCCAGACGACACTCAAACCCGGCGAGACCAAACCTCTGGACCCGTGCACGGATGTGGAGTGTTTGAATGACGGAGTCTGCCTCGTGCAAGATGGGAATGCTCTTTGTTTGTAAGATATGCATCATGACCCCTGTGTATGCGTGTGTGTGCAATTGTGAGGGAGCGGTGGTGTAGCGGTTAGAACGCTGTACTACGAACATGGCGACCCGGGTTCGATTCCTGCTCATGGCCAACACCTGTGGTCCTGGGCCTCCCCTAGGTCATCTCAGCCTCAAATGATTACCTGGTGCGATTTTTTTAACACTTGCCCCAACAGTCTGGTAAGGCTATACGGGGATTTTTGTCTCTATCTTTTTGTGTGTGTGTGTGACTTAGGGTTGCCACCTGTCGGGGTATGACGATGATAATCCAGGGATTGGCATAGGTGTTTGGATGGCAGGAATTAATTTGTACCGAGGTCCTGTACCGGTATTGTGTTGAACTATATTACAGCTTAGCCTTCGGCTGCCTGAGAAATGTGTACGAGTTTGGTCTAAAGTGGGAAAGGAGGTACCCCTAGTGTTGTGCTGCGTGTGTTTTACCATCAAGGTGTCCTCTGCCAGCAGTGATTAATCTTGCACTGCCTTCTCTGTGGTCTGTGCGCGTGTGTGTACAACGGTGACAATGGTGTTTTTTCTTCCAGTAGAGCGAAATATTTGACTAAAATATCTGAACACAGCCTTAAAACAAGTCGAGAGTTATTTCTGGCTCAAATGAGCATTGAAGTGCTGCTCATCTCCTGTTTACAGCCATGAGCTAGTGGTGGAAAAATTGCACATTCCTGTGGTGGGAGTAAGTCTATCCATTGAATACCTAAAATTTAGGTTTTCCTAGGCGCTACATGGTAGAGTTACACCAGAATTATTATCATTAACCCTAAACCACCCGCCAAGATTGTCAGTTTACAATGATATTATTTATACGTGACCAATGTACTAATCTATAAAGCCCCTCGTCAGTGGCTTAACACTTAAGATGAGAGGGGAGATGTAGGAGAGTGTGTGGAGGGGAGTAGAGTGAAATGAGAGGGGAGAGGTAGGAGAGTGTAGAGGGGAATAGACTGAGATGAGAGGTAGAGTGTGGAGAGGAGAGTAGAGCGAGATGAGAGGGGAGAGGAATAAGAGTACTTGTAGGAGAGTACAGTAATTGGGGTGATTGCATGGGGGGGGGCTTTCATCCAGCAGTGGATTGATTAAGGCCAATGATGATGATGCCATTCTGTGCTCTCTTGTCTATGAGGTGTCGTGCCGGACGCTGTGGTGGCGAGATGTTAACTCCCTCTCCTGGTATGCAGGAGGTCGTAGGTTTGATCGCAACCCTGACGCCTGCTATATATTTGGAATTAGCATGTTCTCTTCGTGACCATGTGCATTTGTCTCTGGGTTCTTCGTTCTTTCCCTTCACATTTATAATCAAAATGCGTTTAGGGTAATTGGCTGCCACTCTACATTTCCACACGATCAGCCACTTGGTTGAGCTATCATTTGTGATGGCTGGGTCGCTTCTGAAAAAGAGCTACACAGCTCAGTGGGCTTGACCTGGTAACATAAGAATACTATAGTTGGTGCTTTCTAACCGGGTTGCTGTGTATGCCGTGCAGTTGCCCGCCCCTGGCTGACGGCTGGTACAAGGACGATCGCTGCAAGCGGGGCTCTGATTCAGACATCGTGATCCCCGCGGCGGTGACGGGGGTGGTGGTGTTCGTGGTGATGCTCGCCGCCTCGGGCCTCACCTTTTTCCTGCTGAAGAGGAAGAATAAAAAACGAGCTGCCCACAAGCAGGTGGGCACAACGCGATGTTGGTGCACACGCGTAGAGGACTTCCAGATGCGTGGTTGTTCCTTCTTTAGGCATTTTTCGAACGGACCGATGCACGCGCGGAGGGTCGCCTGGCAAAATTACCGATCACCTAGCGTTCTTTTCCTTTAACCCCTCTGTACCTTTCCCTTTCAACTCTCCCGGGCCAATCACCTTCCACCCCTCCTCTCGCTCCCCCCGACTCAGGTGAGTGGTCCCATTGACCTCGTGCCCCCATCCCTTGTGTAATGCGGATTTGTGGCGATGTAGCATATGTGAGTTATGCACACGGCTGGGCTTGTTCTGTATTGACGACGGCCAGACCAGCAGTCTCCCGATGGTTGTTATCGGCGTTCGTTCCCAGCAACCCTTCCTGAAGCATAGACTGCATGAATTGGGAAGTTAACTATTTTCTGTGACTTTTTGTACTTGCATACTGGATAAGCGGGTGCATTAGGAAATTAAATTCAGGGAATGTTTTTAAATTGCTCTAAACACCGATTGATATTGCCAAATTTATTTCGTAAGACCTCCACTATCTGGCATAGTCAAACATTAATATTCACGTGTACAAGTTATAATTTTACTTGTAAACATGTTAAAACCTGTGCATCTCATGCATGAAGCTGGTAATAAACAATGCAACGTCGTCCTCCTCCACTCCCTCCTCCTTCCCCACTTACTCCACTTGACACTTCCCGTCCAGTCTCCTCACACGACACTTCCAGCACCATTTGCATCTCTATAGAGTCCTTGAACCCATCCTTACGGCTCAGATTCCCCATTGTTTAGTCAAAGTCAAGGTGATGTCTGGCTGCTCATTTGAGCATCGAGGCAGTGTTCATCTCCCTTTTACAGCCCGGCAGAGCCAGTGGTAGAAATTGCTCAATCCTCATATTGGACAGCCCACTTATTTATTTGTAGGGCGCCGCGGTGGCCAGATGTGAACTACCTTGCCTGGTATTCAGGAGGTCGTGGGTTCATTTCTGACCATGATGCCCATTTATTTGGAGATTGCACGTCTCTCTCTCCGTGGTCGCGTGCATTTTACTCCGGTTTTCCCTCCAGATTTATAAACATGTGTTTAGAGTATTTGGATGCTATAAATTTCCACATGATAAGCCACTTTGTCGAGCTATTATTTGTGGACAGGTCTCTTCTGATAAAAAGCTACATAGCTTAGTGGGCCTTACCTGGTAAATAAAATTAGTTTATAGGGTTTTTTCTATTTCTCCATGAAGTAGTAGTCTATTTATCAACCTTTGAGGGATGATGGGAAACCAATCGTAGTGCACATTATGTAAGGGCATTGGCCGTACGTTGTATTAACTGTTTGCTGTCCGTGATGCGTGTCATTTACAGGCAAAGAGTCAGAATGCTACTAACTTGTGAGAGGTGAGGAGGCATTCATTCGATATCAGCCGGGATGCTTGAGTAGCTGAGTAACAAACATCGCCACTGACATTCAGAGCCAAAGGAAGAACGCAAGACCTCTGATTGAGCATTTTCCTGGGAATTGTAAATTGAAAATGTTTATCTGTTATTAAAGAGTAATTTTAACATTGTTTCCAATTGGTTAAACATATGTTAATTAATTGTACAGGCATAAGGTGTGATATTTGAAATATGCACAATACGTTTTGGGTATGAAACGTCATGTACACATGAATAGTAGGTTATTATATGTAATTGTGTGTTTTACTCAGATTGTTTAAAATTATATTTGGGAAGTGTTGACAGACAATTATGTGAGCTCAATGTTGTTGCCGTAACATATTAGAAAAAAAGGCATCTATACAATAAATATGGTAATGTACACAATGGCGCTGGTAAATAATAAACTGTTTGCAATTCCTTCAGCGTGTGTGTGTTTTGTTGAAGCTATCTGTCTGGAAGATACTCGGCCTATCACTCCGGATGACAATGTGGGTGTTATCGGCTACAGTTTTGGCCTTCCTTCTTTATGCTTGCGAAACGTGGTGCCCTTTAAAGTAATATCTGCGCCGATCTGAAGCATTCAGGCTTTCCGGATTCATCCCGGATTTAACAAGACTGGATTGTGTGAGTAGCTCACAAATCCTTGAAAGACCTTACCACAGGCCTATCAGTAAACTCCTACGGTAGGTGAAGATGCGTTGACTGGGTCATGTAACCTGCATGCCCAGCCACCGAATGCCCAGCAGCTTTTTTTTTGCCAGATAGAGGGGGCTAAATGGGCACAACATGGTTTAGAGAATAGATGGCCCGATCAAGTACAGGAAGATGTGGAGCAGAGTAGACTTGCCGATGACTTGTACAAGATTTATCTCTATGGAGGTGGCGCGTGAAGGATACTACTGGCCAGTTGGAGACAGTTGCTCTCCAACAACAACGGAAGGCAGAAGAGCAATACTCATAACAAGCAGAGCACCGGGCAACTAAAATGCAGCAACTGGGCACAGTGGGGAGTGCAGGTGTAGTGGCATAGAATAGTAATGTAGCAGCATATGCGCTGGCTGCTGGCAGGGAAGGGGATCTGCAGCTTCCAGCAGCCCTAACGTCAGCAGGCTAGGTTATACACCAGAGGGGGGTCTAGGGGAAAGGTCACAAGAAGGGCACACCAAGAACCACTGGTAAGTTCTAGAAAGGGGGCGTGGCCGGGGGCGGAGCCAGGCCAGGCCCCGTTGTGTTGCTGAAATCTTCACCATTCTTCTGGTCATTCTTCTCGTCGTCTTCACCATCCTTCTTGTCGTCGTCTCCGTCTTCACCATCTCGGGGCGTCACCTGTCAGGCAGCCTACCAACTGTCCTGACTGGGTAACGTCACCGACCATAGACGAATCGTTAATCCCGATGGTGCTTGTTAGTAAAGAAGTGCCTCCAACTCTTAGTGTCTCTGAGTTAGTCACTACACAGGTGGTGCATCTGCCAGCTATACCAGTCAACCCATAACACCTGGGTCTGCCCCGTGACCTGTCAGCAGCGAGAGCCCTAAACACTTAACTTGACCTCAAGGTGCACCTAGCCTAGCACAGGCGCTGTGGTGATGTTACTGCCACTTATTGGTGAAGGGCGGTTGTTGAGATGAAGCGAGTCACTCAGCCACGCCTTTTTGCTTAAATGTCAGGGTCCAGTTCCTCCCTAACCCTGCAAGATTTAAGTTAGGGTTGGTAAATAAAGGTTTTGCATTACCGGTAACCACATGAGAAACAGTTAAATACTGGTTACCGGTTTGCGGCACACACAGAAAGCTCTCGAGCAATAAACATTAAAAAGTATATATTTTTATTTGAGTGCTTCTAACGTTGTGAAATGGTCAGGGCACTGGACTTGCAATGCAGAGGTAATCGATTCGACTCCATTTCCCGCACAGCAGTAGAGACAGTGGGGGCACGTCTCATAAACCCTTCCGTCCACACTGAGTAGTGTATGTGCTAAACCGGCAACACGCACCACGAAGTGGATAACAAAGAGGGAGGTTAAGTGTGGGTACATCCGACCTCTTCCGACTCTACTTATGCTGTAAATCAGTGGTTCTCAGCTGGGGGTAGGCGGACCCCTGGGGGTACCTGGCAATGTCCCAGGGGGTACGTGAGGTTCTTTATGAATGTGAAATGATGGCATACGTGAGAGTCATTGGTGAATAACCATGTAAGAATCTTACAATGTAAAACTATGATACATTTTAATCCGTATGGTAATCTAGAGCGATGTAAAAATACCTCTCTAAACTCATTGATCATAAACAATGTGGTTTCCAAGAGTAACCAGCAAGTCCCAACAAATGACATCATGCATGCTGATCGTTTAATTTTTTTATTCGCTTGCAGTTACTAGGGTGTTAGGATACCTCACAAAATTGACAATTGTTTAAAATATTGACGTTCATTATTCGTATATTTAGTTCTTAGAACCATGCTGGGTCAGGCAAGGGGGTACTCGGTTGAAATAAATCTCAACAAGGTGGGCACAGTAGCCAAAAAGAGTCGTCCGCTTACTCATCGTGTTACTTATATTCTCCACTACGACGTTCACGAGCATGCCGTCGAAATTACAACTCGAGGTTGTGAAGCTTTTCACCTCGCTCGGGGCTCTTCCCCACCCACCAACGGTGGCGGGACCAGGGCGTCTGCAGCCGATGAACGAGCACCTCTGGATTAACACGGTTGACTATGTACGGTGAACCAACTAAACTTCCCTCTCTAAAACCTTCCGCTGCAAGACCTCCTAGATTTTATGGTCTTCCCAAGATCCACAAAGAAGGTACCCCACTACGACCCATCGTGTCCACGATCAACTCCCCTACCTACAAACTAGCCCGTTTTCTGTCAGATACTCTGCTACCTTTTACTGGCAAGACCACCTCAGCAGTACTTAACTCATCCCAATTGGTTTCTATGGTCAAAGACATTGTACTGGCCCCTGACGATATCCTCGTCAGCTTTGATGTGGTGTCTCTGTTCACCAAGGTCCCAGTACCTGACACCATTAAAATAATTGAGGATCTGGTCCAAAATGGACTAAACCCCGAAGTTCCTGCGCTGGTTAGGCACTGCCTCACCAACACCTACTTTACTTGGAATGGTACCTTTTACAAGCAAAATGAGGGTACTCCCATGGGTTAGCCTTTGTCACCAGTGATAGCCAATGTTTTCATGGAGAAATTTGAATCGGACGCCATCCAGACATCCACCCTCAGTTCTTCCCTGTGGAAGAGATATGTGGATGACACTTTCGTCATTTGGCCACATGGCCTCCCAGATTTGAACCTTTTCCTGGACCACATCAATTCCAGACACCCTTCCATCAGATTCACCATGGAAATAGAGAAAGATGGCAAGCTTCCATTCTTGGATGTTCTGTTTGAGAGGAGGTCTGATGGCTTGTTGGGACATTCTGTTTACAGAAAGCCCACCCACACAGATTCCTACTTGAAACCGGATTCCCACCACCACCCGGCTCAAAATAACTCTCATCAAAACGTTACACCATAGGGCTCATTGCATTTCAGACCAATACCACTTGACCAGTCAATTAAAATTGGTACGGCTGGCCCTTAGGAGGAACGCATACTCTGACCGTACCATCCGCCAAGCTGGTTCTTCTACCTTACAGAAACAACCACCTGATACTCCGATAAAAACCATCACACTACCTTACATAGTAGGCGTTATTAAAAAGATTTCCAAAATTCTAAACAAACACAAGATCCAAGTCCGGTTCAATACAGTACACAAAATACGTGATCTGTTCCCATCCGTAAAGGATGTCATCCCTGACTTACAGTACCGCGGTGTTTACAAATTGAGCTGTACCTGTGGTGATTGTTATATCGGGGAGACGAAACGACATATCTCTGACCGAATTCGCGAGCATAAATCAGATTTGAAACACGGCAGAACGAATTCATCTGCTGTGGCTGATCACTGTTACAATGCTATGGGTGATCATGAGATTGTCTTTTCCGATACCAAGGTTCTTTGTAAACCTACAGGTTATCACCAAAGATTTGTCCAAGAAGCCATTCAGATATACAAACACAGGCATAATTTCAACCGAGAGGATGGTTTTAAATTAAGCAACCACTGGAAAGACGTTTTGAATCATACCAAACGCTAATTTCTAACAGCAATTTCAAGCAGTGGTATACCAAACATATTCTTTCCGAACTTTTCGTTTTTCCTTATTTCTACTGCCTCCCCTTACAGCACAGCCTGGCAGAGCCTCTTTCCGTTTACATTGCACACACAGTGACCCATCCCCCGCACCCTCTACACAACAAAAGATGGATTAACTCAGCTCCGCACCCCACTAAAGTCCCCCTACATGGCCCCTCCCACACCCCCCCTACCTTAACCTGTATTTAAGCGCTAGGTTCCCAGAGCCTCGCCACTTGGTGCAGCGATTTTGGCTTTGACTGGTCCCACCTGAAGACGGAAGTTTGCGTTGCCTCCGAAACGTCGTGTTTTAATTGTTTATTTAATTAAATTAGTTTTACCTACGTGACTTTACCGAATAAAACCAAAGAGTATGAATCCTTGCAGTCACGAAAGCTTCAAATCTAGAATTAACAACTTCTACGGGGAAGATTTTCACCTATCTGTTAGAGATTTTAACAGACAACGAGACAAGAAGTCACAGCTCATCGAGACGCTGACCTTCCTCAAAAGATGCCGCGACCAGAAGGTAATACCCATCGCTTTCACTCATATCTGCCGCTGTATCTTCACCGAACTCTAAACAGATTCTGTTTAAGGCTAGTCTATCATTAATCTCAGAGAGGATTGGGTTACTCCGATTTGAACTTGACTGTTTAGACAGGACTCTCCTACAATCTCATTTAATGTTAACACAAAAAATGACACCTTATGATTGGAACCACGTTGATAACATGACTGCTTCCTCTGCTGATTCACTGTCAGTCAAATGCAAGGCTAACCTAATGGCTAAATTCAGCCGCCTATCAAAGAAAAACCCAGTTCTACAGATCACAAAACTAGACGTTAACAAATTTGTTATCAATCAGAGTAGCACCCCGATTTCGGACAATCTGAAAACAGTATTGGCTAAAGGACTAAATTTCGCTGTCACCCCAAAACATATACCAGTAAATGATATCATTTCTCAGGTCGATGTAGCCCTCAAAGGTATAGGACACATCCAAGCAGACGTAGCGAGAGCTAAAATAGCCACTATTCTTAAGAGTGCTAAGAAACCCGTTAGCAACATCAGCAAAGATGAATGCTCTGAACTCGCGAAATTAAAAGAGAGGGATGACATAGTCATCCTCTCAGCCGACAAGGGCAATGCCACTGTAATAATGGATAAAAACTCATACAACAATAAAATTCAGGACCTACTCAGTGATGGGAGTTA